ATATATTATTAATAAAACAATTTACAAGATATTTGGATTTGTTGTTTTTTGTAGAAAAGGTTGCTTGACATCTCTGCCGTTCTAAATTAATGATATTTTTTAATTCTTAATAGTGTATTCTAAAGAACTGTAGTACTGAAAGTGCAACTTCGGTTTCCAATAACCATTGATAAAGTAGATAAGTCTCGAAGTTCTCCTGTTAGGATACTAACGATAATAAGTTTAAATGTGTCCAAAACCTCGTGCGTATACCGCACAATACGAACATATGTCGACTAATCTTCCTAATCTGCGCGGATCGATTCTATTTCTAACCTGCGCAACGTTTAAAATGCAAATCAATATGGGGCGAATTCTGCGCAACTTATCTTCAAACTGCGCTGCGCAGATTGCGCAGACTAATTTTAAACACTTTAGGACATAATATCTCGATCGGATTTAAGACAGTTTTTTGAATTTTTTGTCAATATAGGAGGGTCAGCTACTTATTATCGTTATTTTTTTTAACGTTAAATAAAAGGCGTCATGATCAGTGTCTGCGGAATCATTTACTTATGAAATTGACTGTATCTAAAGCTATCAAATATTTGTATTCTATAATTGAATAATCTTCTTAATAGGATATAGTTAAGAAGTTTATTTATAAAATACAAATATTTGATGACTTTAGACCAAATTTATTATAAATATAACTTGAATTAATACAAAATAAGGAACAAGTTTTTGAATTATTATAATTATTTCTTTTATTTTATTAAATTGGCTTATTATTTTTCTTATTTTATTTTCTCTTTTTCTCTTTTCCATATTAGTATTATCATTTTACTTATCTAAATTAATTTTTACACATGTTTTATCTTCATTTTCTAATTGGTGCTTGATTTTACACAAATTAATCTTAACGTTTCACTTAATATATAATATGTAAATCATATAAACTACATGTAGATATCAATTTTATAATACTAAATGTAGATCGGTGTAACCAATCCATTATAAAATGTAACTTGAATTGATTTGAATTATAATATTATAATAATCATTTTTGATTTTCTTTTGTCTTATTTTCATTTTATTTTTAAATATATATTTGAAATTCTTGATCTTATTATGATTTTATATTAAATTTCAATTTCAATTTTTATTTAAAAAATATTAATTCTTTATTATTTAAGTTTTATCTCATCTTCTTTCAAATTATTTTATCTTTAACTTTTTTAAATATATATAATATTATTATCATTCTTAATTTGATTAATTATATCTTTATTTTCTTTTAAGTTGATTTATTAAAAATAATAATATTACTAATAAATTCTTTTTATTTTTTATTATATTTTTATATATTTGAATTTTTAATTAAATTTTTATTTTTATTTTCTTTAACTTATTTAATTTCAAATATATATAATAATTATTATTATTCTTTTTATTAATATTATTAAAAATAATTATATTATTATATTTTTATTTTATTATTATTACAATATGTCTATTTTTATTACAACTGAAAATATTTCAAAAGAAATTCAACAATTAATTAATTCTTTTCAAGAACAATTAAATCAACAATATCCAGAATTAATTATAAAAGTCAATCAACTTAATATACAATCTTCATTAGAATTAAATCAGCTTAATATGCAAGCATCATTAGAATTAAATCAACTTAATATGCAATCTTTATTGGAATTAAATCAGCATAAGATGCAATCTTCATTAGAATTCAGTTTTGAAGAATTATTTCCATCAATTCAACAAGAAACAATTACAAAAAATGAATTAATATTAACTGAACTTGAACAGCGAATTATTAATGGAATTCAAAAATCTATAAAACATGGAATAAGTGCTAATCAACCACCAAAGCTACCTTCCAATACAACATCACTTACTCAATATAATAATATATTAGAAGATGATCAATATACTCAAACTTCAGTATATTTTGAAATTGGTAGAATTTTAAAAGATATAACTATTGGAATACGAAGAACTAAAAGAATAGCAGAAATTCAAAGATTATTTCAACAATATATCAGTACTATTAATTTTAAATCACGAGCCTTAATGGCAATAAGATTATATGAATATTTTCAAAATAAGGAATATCTTCTTATTTATAAAAAAATTGATAGTTATTTTAAACCAAGTATTATTGGAAAACTTAGCAATGAAGATAGTAATACTTTAAAAAAAAGACTTCAAGAAAGTTTTACTATATAATATTATTTTGTTATTTTATTTTATCTTATTATTTAATTATATTTATTAAATAAAATTTCATTAATAATTATAAATAATATTAAAAAAATCAAAATAATCAAAATAATTAACTAAAATGATTGAAAATATTAGTAATTTTTCTCAAGATTTCTTATAATAAATAAATTAATAAAGATATTAAATTTCTTATTTAATAAACTTATTGAATTTATAAAAAGTTCTGTATTTGATATACTTTAAAATATAATTTATATTTGAAATCAAATATTATATATTAAATATATTATTCATCTTTAAATTAGCTTTATTAAATTTAAATTAAATTTTTTTTGTAAGAAATCTTTAAATCTTGAGCAAATAATGAATATACTCAAATCTCTTTAATTATCACTCTTAGAAAAAACAAAGTTTGATAAAGATTTTTTTAATTTATAATTACTTAATAATTGAAAAACTCAAATTGAATTATAATAATAGTATCTCAATTTATTTTAATAATATAATATTAGAATTTTATTATTTCGATTTTCTTCTCGCGATATTTTCAATCCATTTGATTATTAGCTATTATTTTTTGAAATTATATTACAAATTCAATTTTTTATGTTTTTCTTATAGAATTTTTCTTAATTCAAGCATTACAAATGAATAAATTGAGACCCATTTGAGCGTCATTAATAGTAGTTTTTCTTATTATCATTGTTGTTTTTGCAAAAGTGCGTTATTTTTTAACATTTTTCAAGTAACGCATTGTGATCCGAAATAGAAAATGAAGAGAATGTCGGAGTTTTGATTAATAGTAAAGAAATTATTTTTAAATTTTTAAATTATATTTATTTTTGTTAAATAAAAAAAACAAATTACCCAAACATTTAACTTCATAAACATGTGAAAGAGAAAAGAAAACACCCCCAAACCAAAGATAGCTTTTTCTATCATCAAACAAATTCTGACGCCCACGAATAGAATCTCAACCAATAGTAACCGGTGGCATGCCCATTTTCTACTGCAATTACACATAACGATAAATAAATAAAAAAATTTTTTTGTAACTGATTTTCGTATGAGACAAGTGTTCAAACATTTTCTCAAGTTCTAAAGAGCAATAGATATACTTTTTTTTACTTGTCCATAATTAATAAAGGGGTGTTATATTACAGAGTATTTAATGCAAACATATGAACTTTTGATATTCGATCTGAAGTATGAAAAAAAAGCTGATAATTAATCAAACACAAAATGCTAATAGCCAAAAGATTTTTTTAAAGGATTAAGTAACAATAATATAAATTGCAGTATATGTTACAGTATATATTTTAAATTTACCTATGATAAAGGGGTGTAAAAAAAAAGCTAAACAAAATAAATACATATGAAAAACGGCATCAGCATCTATAATACAAACAGAGAAAAAAGACAAAAAAGAAAAAACACGCAAAAAATTAGAAAGATAAAAACAGTTAGGTTCTTTCTAAATTAATTGTTCATTGAGAGACATTTTTCAAAGAGTGAGAAAAATAGTTATAATAATGATAGATTCAAAGAATGAGAAAATATTGTGTACCTCCCGGTTTCCCCTCAATTTTTAAACCCCCAAATTTCCAACCCAAGGCAATCGAAATCCGGAAACATTGATAGTGGTTGATTATCAAACGTATCACATGAGAAGGACTGCCCTCGTTCGAGATTAGAATCTATCCAAAGTCCGGTTCTTCCATCCCTGAAGAATAAAAATAAAAATAAAATTATTAACGAATTACGAAAATTGATAGATGAAATAATGTTGAAAAATATATTTTACCCTCCACCAATGGCCACGTAATCATGTTCACTAAAGATAAGAAATTCGTTACGTCCGGTCCATAAATAAAATTCAACTGTGGGTGGTGTTGATTCTTCGGCATCATTGTATATACATTTCCATAGAAAACTTAAGAGGGCAAAGAATAAATTTTAAAAATTTCGAATATACATAGAAAAACAAGAATAAATTATCATTACCATTCTCCAGTTCCGTAATAGGAAGACCATGGCTTTAAAGACTCGTTTATAAATGCGCCAAATACCTTAAAATACAATAACGATAAGCAAGAAATAACAAGATACTCGAAATATCCGATAATCGTATACAATACCTGATCATTTTCGTCTTTAAGAGCCAATACCAAAGGACCTTTATCTTTTACATTGTTATACATAGTGGTCATACTAGTTCCATTTTGATCGATACTATATAACAAGGTCCATGAAGGTTCTAGTCGTAAGCGACGCGGTAATTGCTGCCGTAACTACATATAAATGATCAGTTTATGAGGTTGAGAAAATATCAAATGGCATAACGTCTTCATTGGGGGCAGTACACAACAAAATAAATAGAAGTCTTACTTGTTCTGCGACGTTAATGTCTAAAACCGGATCAGTGTCAGGTTTTCTGCCAACTAACTGAACTGGAGGCATTTTTTCTTTTGATTTTAGTAATTCGGGAACTTCTTGAGGTGGTGTTGATGGAGAATTATCACTGTTATTATTACTATTATTGTTATTGTTATCGTCCCAGACCCCAAATAATTGACTCTCAATAGTTGGTGATTCCAATGAAGAACGACGAGGTTTGATAGTGGTCGTTACTAAACTTATGGGTTCCACATTATTGGCCTTCGGGGCCATTGTAGGTATTATTTTTGGAAACGACTTCTTAGGTCGCCACGTGAGCGAACTAAACTTCTTCGAGAAAGCCAAGCTGAATAAGTCTTCGTCAACAGGTGGCGAAATTGTGTTGCAGAGAACCTGTGAATTATTCAAAGAAGTCGTATAGTTATCTCGACCAACTATATCCCAAAAGTGCTCGTATGGGGTTCCGTTTATAAAATTGGTATCTGAAAACGTCCTTCGCTTTGAATTTAGACGTGGTATTTTTCTTGGTTGTGAAGCTTCTGAAACTACTCTCCTGTATTGTGGTGGCGTTTGTGGTGGGGTTGTTGGCTCCTGCAGCTTCAGAGGTAACTTATCTACTAGAAAAGCAATAGTAGGAGACGAGGAAGGAGGGGTAAACGGAGAACTACTCGTAATAAAATTATTATTACCATTGTTGATATTATTACTTTTTGACAACATTGCGGGTAATTAAAGTTCAAAAATTAAAATTCAAAAATTATAGCAATGCAGGGAAAATTCCCAAATTACTTACAATTTAAATAAAAATCTCGCGATTTTTTATATTGTTAAATTCCCCACACTCACACAATTTTTTTTGCAAAGTAATCATTCACTACTATACAAGGTTTGTTGTAGTTCACACAACTACAACTGGACGGTCCCACAAAGAGAAATGAACACAATTTTACAATAATACGTAACGGTAAAAAACCACTCACAGATCTGCGCTGATACTTTGAAGTTATAAAATATACTGCTTATTTAATGTATATTTTTTATATTGTATTACGGTCTCCATTTTTGAAAATTCTCAAATAAAGAAATCATTTATGCCGATGCATCAACGGTACCTGCGCATAATTCTGGTTCATTTGATCTATTGACCGACTGATGCATGAACGTTCTTGTAAGTTATTGAGACATTCCACTTTAAAATTCATTCAATCTATTGACTGACTGATGCATCACACGATCCTGTAATTAATTTAAGGCAGAGTTCATTCACTTAGAACCGGTACAATTATAAATTTTCAATCACGAGTCAATATTGTAATTACGGCCTCCCATTTTTCCGTCCATTCATCTCACGTGGATGAGTATAAATGTAGTACTGAATTGTGTCCATTAGAGACAACAATGCCAAACTCAACGTCGTACTCATTTAGGGGATTTTTCCAATGTCAAACTCAAATGTACTCATATGACTCACATAAATGATTTTCTGATTAAGTCACTAATTACGTATGTATATTAATTATGTACGTATATTTGTTGAGCACAAGTATTTTTCAACTAATTATGTGGTTAAAAATATCCTTTTTTTATCTAAAACAAAATAAATAAATCATTTAATCAACAATCAATCATATCTATGTAGTTTTGTGCACATGTATGTGTGTTTTCGTATCTGTGCATCGGTGAAATTTAACTCTAAAATTTAACAATAATCGTAGACCAAACGGAGTATGTCGTATCGATATCGTACCAATAATGCAGCAAATCTTTTTAATTTGTTTACATACGTATCAATAAGGAAAGGTCAAAACCGAATTCGGCTTCAAGAACGTAAAAAAAGCTGTCCCCAGCAGCAAGAGGGCTGAGGACACGCATTCTCTTATGATAGATCAAGTAGTTTTGGTGTTATTCTTGGCACTTAGTGATAACGGTTTGAGGTCGAAATACTCGGCGACAAAGATTCGAATAATTAAATTCAAGTTGTACATGATATCGGGATCAAGTGCTTTTTCGTTATCCTTTATATGGTGATGAAATTCAGCAATTATAATTGAGAGAAAAATTAAATCCTATTCTATTTTATGTTTTTGTGTGTGTTATGTGTGTTTTTTTGGTGGGCGTGTACACACACACACACACACACACACACATACACACACACACATAAAATATTTATCAATGAGATTAAATATGTACAAATAAAAAGTACTCACGTCCAATTTATGCCACACCGATGGAAACGGTTCAGTGATGATATGAAGAATCGGGACCCCCCTAATCATAAAGGGTACGTGATCGTCGGAAATAATATTCATAAGAACCGAACTACCGAGTGACGAATCAAACATAAAATCCTTGTCCAAATCATCTTCATCCTCCTTCAATAACGATTGTTTCCATAATCGTTCCTCGATCCGCGCTATATTTTTGTAGAGCCAAGATGTGGTGGGGAAGTAGTTTGTTATTTTGGGATCTTTGGCGCCGAGAAGATCTAGTAGAACTAGTGCTTCGATTCCGTCTAATAATGAGGTGGCCTGATGTTGAAAATAATCGGTTCTTGTGATATATGTCTCTTCCCATTTTTTCGCTAAGTGTCTAATTGATATTGAAATTGACGATGAAGATTATTATTATTATGAAATTGTACATTTCCCTATTTTCGCTCCCCATAAATTTCTCATCGTGCATATGCATAATGAAAAACGGATCGTGTGTTCGAATAAATACGAAAAAAATAACATGGACATTTGATGAATATGGGAATTCACAAATTCCCCATTCCCATCCATAAATTGATCATTCATGCTTATGCATGAATGAATCGTGTGCTTCAATAAAATCCGATAACATGTGGTAATGCGAATAAAAAAAGAATAGCAACAACTGCAAATCCCATCTCTTTTGAGACAAATGCTTAATAAATCACCGCTTACCGTGAACCATATAAAGAATCCGTATCAGTCCAATCTCGAAAAGCTTCTTCACCGTCAAAAAAAATAATTTGTAGTGTAACGTCCGCCTTGTTCTGATCACTTAATAATTGATTCAAGCTATAGGCCAGGTCGATAAGTAGAGCACACGGGAAGGCAGAGTCCGTCGCACCAATAAAATTATCATTGGGTGGCTCAAAATATTTTGAATCATAGTGAGCTGCCAGCACAAGTCTTTTACTTATGGCAATGTCTTTTGTCACGATAATGTTGCTGAATGGTTTCTCCCCAAGTGGAGTAACGCTTGTAAAGTTGTCTCTTTCAACATGCCAGCCTAGATTTGTGAATTGGTTGACTATGAACTCTTGCACTTTTGCATGCTGTTCAGTTCCGGAAACTCTCTTTACCAGTAGAGGTTTCAGGAACTCCTTGTATGTGCTGTTTGGAATATCAAGGGCAATTAGTGCAGGTAGTTCATCTTCAGAGAAAGTTGTGTATGCTATTATATTTCCAACAAAAATAAATATTATCACCAAAAAACTATAGAGAATCATCGTTTAACAATCACTCAAAAAAAGTCACGTCCTTTGAGTCATTGCCCTTAAAGTAACACAAAAATTCTAGCCAATAGAATGGTGATTATAAATTTCGCGCTTCACGACGCGTGTTTGTTCTTTCAACCAACTTTATCATTTACCGCTACGATTTTCTTCATACATTGTCATAATCTCAAAATGCCGGAATACCTTATTAAAGGAATTAAAGTGCGGTTTCCTTACGACGCCTATAGCTGTCAAAAAATTCTAATGGAAAAGCTTATTACTAGTTTGCAGTCAAATACAAATGCGCTGCTTGAAAGTCCAACAGGGACCGGGAAGACACTATCTCTGTTATGTGCCGCCCTTGCTTGGCGAGAAGCCTATATGGCACGTCAGCAGCATGAGTATTACGTGAGGGAAAATAAAAAGCCCGATAAATTTAATAAAGAACTGCTGGATACTTTGAATGCTGCAGTTTCTATTTCGCCAAATTCAGGTAAGCTATTCCCGCTTTTTTTATTTTGACTTATTAAATTAACAAATATTTTTCCTATTTAAAAGAAAATTATTCGCGGCCACCTCCAGTAATATATTATGCTTCCCGAACGCACTCTCAACTGTCTCAGGCTATTAACGAGCTAAAGACCACAACCTATAAGCACGTAATTTTTTGTAGAATATTCAATCATCATTATTTTTAATTTTATTTTAATTCTTTTGTGCATACAAACAGTCCAAGAATGTGTGTACTTGGATCACGAGAACAATTATGTATCAATCCTATAGTAAATATAATTAAATCTAATGCCGCGCTAACGGCTGTATGTCGTGACAAGGTTAAGAAAAAACGATGTCAGTATATACAAGGGGTTGATGGTGAGATACAATTTTCTATCCTATGTGAATGAATATCTTTAACAAAATTTTTTTTGAGTTCATGTTATTAAGTTACTGTGTATATTTTAAAGCTGCCAAAATTCTACCAGACTTTGATGGTGAAGTTTTGGACATTGAAGATCTTGTTAAGTTTGGCAAAAAAAACACGTGAGTTTTGCTATTGCGGATTTTCTGAATTCAAAACAGAGCTAAAGATAATTATTTTTGCAGGGCATGTCCTTATTTTCTTTCCCGAGAAAATCAAAATAGCGCCGACATCATTTTCCTTCCATACAACTATCTAGTCGATGCAAATTCGCGTAAAGCTCAGAATCTTAATTTGGACAATGCTATTTTAATATTTGATGAAGCGCATAATCTTGCAAGTTATTTTATCTTAACATACAAAGCACATGCATGTAATTGAATGATTGAAGCGAAAACTCATATCCTCATGTCGTAGGAAAGCAGTTGCAGTGAAGCAACCTCATTTGAGATCACCTCAGAAGATTTGCAGGCTTGTATATCTGAAGTTAGCTACTGTGCTGATAAAGCTCAGTCACCACTATATACTGGCGATATTACCGCGGAAGATTATGAGCTTCTGAGAGGCATTATTTTTTATATGCTTTTGGTTTTGTATTTAGAATTTTTGTTCTCGAGTTTCTAATGTAAATTTACGCTTTAATTTTATATTAAAAGGGATTTTTGAAGATCTTTTAAAAGTAATCAATGAAGTGAATTTTCCATATACGACCAATGAAATCAATAAACCTGGGGAATGGATATATGAATTATTTGAAAAGGTAAATTTTGGATCTTATATCGTTTTAAATATAGAGGTCGAAACAATGATAAATTATAAATTATCAAATTAAGTAATGAATAAATGTAATTTTTAGGCGAATTTAAATTCCGAGACTTTTGGTCATGTGCACAATATTATGGAGGCCGCACATGAAGTCCTTACGACAGGTTATTGATATTATGCCATATAGATTATGTATTGATGAGCTTTACTATTAACATAAACTTATAATAACTCAGCTATTTCAAACAAGAAACTCAACAGTTATGCAACGCACCATCTACTGACTTCTTTAAAAATCCTGTTCGGGGATACCTTGGGGAATAATAAGGCTGAGAGGGCGAATAATACAAAATATTACAAAGTATGTAGCTAATTATTAGTTTTTTATTTTATTTTAATATTCAACTAATATTCTCTTTATGGTCTTATAGGTACACATATCTCGTGAGCAAGCAGCAGCATCATTTCCGTCGTCATTACTTGGCAAAAGTTCATACAGAAAAAAGACACAAGCACCAAGTAAATTCTTTGATATTCTTATAATTACTGTACTGTCAAATAAAATTCTAATTTCAGAGATTTAATTTAGAAAGAACATTGAGCTTTTGGTGTTTTAGCCCGGGTCTCGCAATGAAGGATTTGACTGGCAGAAATTGTCGGTCCATTATTCTTGCTAGTGGAACATTAGCGCCGTTACCTTCCTTTGCTGCAGAACTACAGATGTAAATAAATTTTGTTAATTAACCTTATGAATTTGAATTAATCTCTGCTAAATTATAACTTTTATATTAGCGATTTTAAAGTACAATTCGAGGGACCTCATGTTATATCCTCAGATCAGGCATTTGTTGGAATAATAAAAAAAGGACCAACTGGGATCGCGCTAAATTCAAGTTACAATTCACGGAGCAATGCAAATTATCAACAAGAGTTAGGAAGGACAATAGGTACCGCCTATATTATGCGCTGTATGATTCATTAAAAGTGTTACCGATAATGGATGAATTATTTTATTTAGTCAATTTCAGTCGGTTTATTCCTGATGGTTTAATTGTTTTCTTTCCTTCTTATGGGGTAATGAATGATTGCATTGAAAATTGGAAGCGCCCAGTAAGCTTGATACTTTATTAGATTGATTCTCTTGCTATTCGTCATTATATCATTTTCTTACAACTTACCATATTACTTTTAGATAGTAGGAAGTAATCCACGTATTTGGGATATGCTAACACAAAATAAAGAACTGATCATCGAACCAAAAAACAAGCAAGAATTTGTTAAAGTAAATATGTGTGTGAGAGATATATACAGTTTATATCATTAAAAAGAATAAATTATTAAATCGAATATTTTTTTTAAACATTAGACAATGACACTTTTTCACAAAACAATTTCGGAACAAGGACGAGGGTCTATCTTCTTTGCAGTCTGTCGTGGAAAGGTATCAGAAGGCATTGACTTTACGGACGCCAGAGGCAGAGCCGTTATCATCACTGGTATTCCATACCCGCCATTTCGTGATCCAAAAGTAATTTATTTCTTTTTTTTTTGTGAAAAATAACTTTGCGTGAAATATCAATAATTACCGCATTTTGAATATTATAATTTAGGTTATCTTAAAGCGCGAATATTTGGACAGCACGCGTAAGCAGAGTTGCAATAAGTCAAAGGTGCGAAATATCTAATGAAAATACACAAATACAGTAGAGATTGCGAACGCTAATCTCTGTTACGAATTTTATTAGTTCGTCTCTGGAGACGATTGGTACAAACAACAAGCTACTCGAGCTGTCAATCAAGGTCTTATTAACAAAAAAAAATGAATTACATACATTGAATTTTGTATATAAGTCAACTTTATCGATCATATATAGCTTTGGGAAGAGTGTTACGCCATAAGAAGGATTATGGGGCTATACTTTTGTGTGATGAGAGGTACCTAAAAATATATCTAAATGAAAAATTCGTTTTATGTTTTTGAATCAAATTTTCTAATTTATTAAATTTTCGATAGATTTGCTGCTTCCCATATTATTGCTCAATTACCAATATGGGTTCGATCCCTAGTTACGGTTTACGAAAACTTTGGTCAGATGCATGGATTGATTCATAATTTCTTTCAAGAAATGAATCTTAAAATGGTATTTAAATAATTCCTTACTAGGCCATTTTATATCAATGGTGTCTCTTGTAGAATTTTTTTCGATATTCATATACTGACAGGGCGGAATAAATATCAAGAAGACTGACAAACGAAGTTCTTTTACTACATCCGCTACATCTATTCATCTGGATCAACTATCGGTTCGCACAAATAAAAATTCAAAAAATGAGCAACCATCATTAGGTATGACACAAAGAAATATACCATTTTGGGGTATATATATTTTATATAAATATGAATACGCATATTGACATATTACTTTAAGCTCATAATAAAAGGCTAAAGCATCAAAGGATCGAATATGAATCAGAAATTGTTACCACATCTACTACTAGTAACCTAAGATCATCATCATCGCAAACAAGTTCCAGGAAAAAATCAAAATTTGATGAAAACGTATGCTTTTTTTCGAGATGATCGTGGCTTTTATCTTATATTTACCAATTATTTAAATTTTCCGAATATCAGGAATCTTGGATGTCGACGTCAACTGTCAAAAGTGAGAGTAGTAGTGCTAACACTGCTGGTAGTACGACATCAAGTTCTTTGCACACTGCCCAATTCACAAGCAAGAAAGTGGTTAAACGCAATGCACTTGGTATGCTCGTTGAAAAGAAATCTGGCTCTTGATAAATTTATTATAGTCAAAATAATTGATTATCATAAGAGATTGTGGAATATTTTTTAATCAAGAGAAAATATAACGTGAAATAAATTTTCATCTTTTCAACTTCTATATACACCAAATTGAATTTTTTTCTAAACATTTATAAAACATGATGTTTTGCCGATTCTGCTCTTAAAAAACTTTGGTCACAAATGCATTTTCAATTCAAAGAAAACAATAATCCATATCATGATGCTATATACAATTTATCTCATGAATGTTAATAATATCTAGAACATTATTTTTCTATACATTTCGAGTATTAATCGATAATAATAATTTTATTTTTCGTAAACAAAGTTGACGAGCTTACCACCAACAACATGAATTACGCGAGATAATTTTTTATTGGCGTATTTACCCTCTATCCATTTTTTCCCTTCATTAGAGTCACGAATCAATTGTTCGACGGCCGATTGATTCTTGATGGTTGCTGCCGGAATTTCTAGAACGAATCTTGTTTTTCCATTGATCTTTTTTTTACAAGATTTTTCAGTAAATAAAATTAATATTAATAGTATACCAAGATCGGATTTGTAATGATTTACCTGTATTGCGCAATTGATTTTATTCACAGAAAATGATGTTGAATCTATTTTGGGCCATGATTCTTCGAAAATGCTTTGAGCATTATTGTCATTATGTTCGTGTCTTTTTTTCAAAAATTCCCAACACTCTTCAGCAAAACTTGGTGCCATAGGTGCAAGAATCTTGACCAGGGTTTCAACTCCATAAACGAAAACCGGTGATAATGATGTGTCAGAATCGAGATTCGTCTCTTCATCATCATTTTTATTATTTTTATTGGAAGGGGAATGAGGAGTAGTGATACTATTACTGAGATGGTTTGTAAGCTTTATTAAATCCGAGACAACCGTATTTAATGTATATGTCTCAGAAAGCGCGTTCGTCACCTAAAAAAATAACTTAATTGAAAAAATGATTTAAAAAGATCTAAGCACGAAAAAATCAAATTATTAAATACCTCTTTTACTGTCAAATTAATAATTCGATAAGTAGTTAAATCACGTTCATCCATTTTGTCCACACTTAGAGAACGTTGTTGTGCCATTGCAGAATTTGTATTATTTTTTGAATCTTCAATCACTAGTTCAACTAGTCTCCACATACGATTAAGCCATCGTTGCATACCGATAATGCCAGAATCATCCCATTCGAGTATTTCCGAAACTGGCGCTCTGAAAAGTATGAATAACCGCGTTGAATCGGCGCCGTGTTTTTCAATTATTGCCTGAATGTTCATATTTGATTTGTTAGGAATTGGGAGTTACTAAATTTGAGAGATATCTTTAAAAAGATTTGTAATATTTATGTATCGACTTACTTCAGGATTCACACCGTTGTATTTGCGTTTGGACATTTTCTCAAATGATACTATGGGCAGTTGACCGTTGGATTTTTGAGTTGGAATACCAGGATCTATTAAATATAAATGTTTGTAATCCCAATTTTATGCTAAATTTAACAAGTTATCGTATTAACAAATTCTTACTCGAAAAATCAAGTTCCTCTGGTTTTAAGAAGCGTCCATTGATCGAATCTTTATATGTTTTTCCTTGAACCATTCCCTGTATTTGTTGATACAAATCATAATAAGTAATTCTAATAGAGAAAATAATAGTAACAAATACCATCAATGGCATACCTGTGTTATTAAAACTTTAAAAGGTTCACCATTTCCCGGTTGCCTCTTTTCAGTATCATCATTTTCATCGTACATTTTTCGATGTAGCATAAACTTTGAAAAAAACCTTGCATATAATAAATGCAAGATTGCGTGTTCTACACCGCCAACGTATACATCAACGGGTAAAATCCTTGATGCTATATTAGGTGAGAAGGGCCTATTAAACAATAAAATGAGGAATAAAATTAATAAACAAGATATTACATTGTCATATTTATAAATAATCACTTAACTCTATCGAATTCTTCGGATCAAGGAAACGCATAAAATACCAAGATGAGTCAACAAAAGTGTCCATGGTGTCGGTGTCTCGTGTGGCGGGACCGTGGCATCTATAGCAGCAGCAATTATTATTATTTTTTAATACGACCTAATAAATAAATATCATCATCATCTTTGTTGTTGAATAATATGGATTTTTTCTTGGTAAAAAAAGTTGAATTTACGATACTTTGGACATTTGCATCTCATCCAATCTTTGTCTTGTTTAAGCGGAGATTCGCCACGACCAGTAATTGAAACATTGGAAGGTAAAAGTACCGGCAATTCACATTCTGGTACTGGAACAGCCTTAATGTACAATGGTATTGAGTATATTATCATACATTAAAGAAGGATGTAGTTATATGGATGTTCTATTATTACATCACATTTCTCGCAATGAATTATGGGAATCGGTGTTCCCCAATAACGTTGTCGAGATAAAAGCCAATCTCGGAGTCGATACTATTTTTGAAACAATAATTAAAAACAAATCTTTTAACTTTATATTAAATTGAATTTCTCAACCTTCTATACCTGCACCACCCAACGTCCAAATCCTGCTTTTTGAGCATCACGCACAATTGCTTGCATCGCATCAACAGTTTTTAATCCTTTATATGCTCCGGATTCGGATGTTAAGATTCCATATGCTGTGTAGATTTGGTTTTCAGTTTTATCTAAAATCTGAATTCGTAAGTGCATAGCCCAGAAAATATTCTTTTTTAATAATTTATTAATCTCTTAATTTTAATATTATTGGTACCTTCTTCGATGCTCAAAGGCTCAACTACTCTCTTAATTTCATTCTCATTGACAATCTTATTGACCAAAGTGAACTCCCAATCTCTTTTATCATGAGCAGGGACTCCCATTACAGCCCCACTTCCATAATCAGACAATACATAAGGCGAAACGTAGATTGGAAGCGATTCTCCGGTGAAAGGATGGATCGCGTAAAGACCCGTGTGAACTCCTAGTGTTCAAAGCCGTTTCAATAATTAATTAATTTTGTGTAGCGACCTTTTGTAATAATACATCAAGAATTGCAAAAAAAATAAGAAATTTTACCTTGTTTAGTTTTGCTTTCTCCAATTCTTTCAATTACTTGTTGTCCTTTAGCATTCTCCACAAAATCAAAGACTATTGAATGATTTTCTTTTGGAATATGCCTGTTGCACATCAAAGAGAGATAAAAAATATCCTGAGATAAAGATCGTACATTATGTGACAATTCATATGTTAAAAGATGAGAAGACATTTACTCTTTTGACAGAAGCGGATGATCTAATGATACTGCTAAATAGTGCACTCCAAATATTGTATCAGGACGACTTGTATATACTTTGAGCGGCGGGATTGAATTATTTTTCGATTTCTAATTTCATGATGGCAATATTTACTTTCACAAATATAAATTGCATAAACAGTTTCTGTATTTTGTATATACCACTAGAAAATCAAATTCTGCACCCTCAGATTTCCCGATCCAATTTCTTTGCATTTGCTTGACGTGATCAGGCCATTTATCCAATAACTCCAAATCCGCCAAAAGTTGCTATATTTAAAACGATAAAAAATTCATTTTAACACTTCTAAGCATAAAACAAAGAAATGAACAAGATGTTACCTCAGCATAACTAGTAATCCTAAAAAACCATTGTTTCAATTTACGATGTTCAACTTTTGCTCCAGATCGCCATGATTTTCCCTCAGCGTCTACCTATAAATAAAGATGATAGATAAGAAATTTTAAATGGGCTATGATGCAATTAATTACTTGTTCATTAGCCAACACAGTCTTATCGACAGGATCCCAATTGACGATAGCTTCTTTTTGATACGCCAATCCATTTTTGTATAATTGAAGAAAAAGATATTGCGTCCATTTATAATAATCAGGTTTGCAAGTGGTGATTTCCTAAGTAACAATAATTTCCCCAAAAAATATTGTGAATATATACAAGTCTAATTAAGATAGAATAACAAATCAATATATTTACCCTCTCCCAATCAAAATCCGTCAACATTTTTTCCATCTGATTTTTCATTACTGCGATATTCTTTGTCGTCCACTCAACAGGATGAATATTGCGCTCTATCGCTGCATTCTCGGCCGGTAATCCAAATGCATCCCATCCCATAGGATGAATCACCTTTAAGAGTTTATCAAATCAAATCACATTTTAAATATTCCAAAAGAGAAACAAAAAAGACCGACCATTATCATTTCACCTCATATCCAAGCATCTTTCTAAATCTTGCAATAGTATCACTTATAGTATACACACGGACATGTCCCATATGTAAAAAGCCACTAGGATATGGAAACATGCTCAAAACATAAAACTTGTTTGGTTTCTCGTGAGATATCAACAACGGATTTTTCAATCGATCGCCATCACTATCACTGTTATTATAATTAGTATTTGGATTTTTATTAATTTTCTGCTCTTTCCATTTCTGTATCCATTTTTTCTCGATCAATGAAAAATCGGGCGTTTTTGGTAGACTTGCGTAAAATCGCGTTTTCGATGATGCTGTTATATACGGAAATTTTTTACGTATGATTATAAAGAGTTTCTGCGACATTATTATAAATTTTTGCAATTTTGTAATCACTGTCTAACTGATAGAAAATCAAGCCAATCAGTTCATAATAAAAGTAGTCCAATTATGGTTGATTACACAAACAATAATTCTTTACAAACTTATAAAATATAACTAATTTTTTGCCATCTCTTGTCACTAGAAAAACAAATCGCTATAAATGATATTTATTTTATGACAAAGCTAACAAATATAAAATAAATGGTTATATTTTATTATAATTCTTATTATAAAAATATACTAGAATTGTAATTTTACTATTTTTTTAAATTGATTTCCTTTTATAATTATCTTAAAAAACAATTAAATTTATTCTTTCATTTAAGATAAAAGAAGATACTTTGATGAAGAATGTTATAAAAGAGAGATTATATTTAATATTAATTTATTTAACTTACTTTCTAAATATATATATTTATTTATAATTATATTAAAAAAATTAATATAAAAATAAAAATTTTTATAATTAATATTTATATAATGAACTTATATTTTTAAAGAAATTTAATTTAATGATTTTAATTATATTAAAATTCTTAATATTAAGATAATTAGTTTTGAGCATATTAGCTTAATTAATTTATTATTAATCAAATTAGCTTATTTAGAATTAATTAACTTAATAATAAATAATAATTTCTTTAACTTATCTTTAAAAAATAAATAAATATATAGAAAAATATGATTTATATATTTACTTAGTATTTCTTTAAAATTTAATTCTTTTAATTATATGGGCTGGTGCAAAAAGATTGGTATATCAATATAAAAATTAATAATTGCTTCTAATAAAAGTCATTCAAATTTTAATCAATCTTTATAATTTTTTTATATTAAGTAAAAAATAATCTAAATTAACTTTTTATACTATT